ACTAATATGTTTGTTTATTTCTATTTAGGGGTGAACATGTCCCTTTATCGCTCTGTTTCCATAGAAGTGTCTCTCTGAGCTCCTTTGTGACCTCACCCGGAAAAGAATGTTTGTGCTGATCTTTGTGCCTCATCATGTTTTGATGTATTTTCTCATCTGGCTGTCCTTGTCTGCATTACGGCTCATTACCCATGAAATTGTTTTGTCCTGACACATATTGTACACTAAGGTGTCGTTTCATCATTTCATCATTTTATGCGTAAAGCAATGCAATTAGACGTCTTGTGCTTTGTTCTATTTCCTTTGTCCTTTGTGGATATTGTATGACATACTGCATTTTGTGATGCTGGAAACAGCATGTAGATAAGACATGACTTGGGTTTCTTACAGTGAATGGCACCACTGGAGAGGGCGCGTCTCTTAGTGTTGAGGAGAGGAAGATCCTGGCTGCAGAGTGGTGTCAGAAAGCCAAGGGGAAGTAAGTCATTACACAGCCAAACAGTTTTGAGCTAATGCAGCAGAAAGAAAGTTGACAGTTTTTGAAATTATGTGCATGTATGTGCATGTCTCCACAGAATCGATCATGTGATTGTGCATGTCGGCTGCATGAGTCTTAAAGATTCCCAAGAACTGGTGAGTTGCTGCTTTTATGTTGCCTGCAGTGATGTGAACAGGCTTAGCTTAGTTGTTAGTTATTTTTAAAGCACATTTCAGCAACAAGACAATTCAAAGTGCTCAACATGTCTTTAAGTTTAGCACAAATGTCCACTTGGACTCAACGATGAACTGAGTAGATTTTAGTGGTCATGGATCTAAGGTCATGGTCACTTCGACCTTGCCCTCTCATTCTTGTGAACTCAATATCTCATGAAGGCCTTGAGGAAGTTTCCTTAAATTTGGTACCAACTTGTACTTGGACTCAAGAATACTGATTATTATTTGTTAGTCAAAGGTCAAGGTCACTGTGACCTCACAAAACATGTTTTGAGCCATTTTGACCGTCATATACAGCGCCTTTTAAACTAGTTGTCAACTTGAATGAGAAAAAAACAACAAAGTTGTTGATGTACATGTTCAGAGCTGATAAATGTGTTTTTAGATGAATATTTTTTCAGCAATAGGAACTAAATCATAGATCACAACACTACAGTAACAGTACACTGTATAAACTACAATGTTTAATGCATCCACTACAGTAGTAAGTGCCTTAGTTTTCATTGTTCTCCCTCTGGATGTTCATGTTTCCTCCAGGCTCGCCACGCAGCACAGATCGGGGCTGATGCAATAGCAGTCATTTCCCCCTCCTTCTTCAAGCCCAGCTCTGCAGGTATACAATTCTTTTAGTGGTAAAAGCATTTATTTCCCCATTTTCAAATGCGTAATCATCAAACGTCCATTCTCACTTTTCATTCATGTGTCAATACTGTACTGATGAAGCTCAGTTGGAAAGTACAACCAAAACAAAATGACTTATTTCCATGATGTAAATTGTCCACATTTCTTTCTCTCTCTCTCTCTCATCCTGCTTCAGACATCTTGAGGTCGTACCTTAAGGAAGTGGCTTCAGTTGCCCCAACTCTGCCCTTCTATTATTATCATCTTCCAGCTCTCACTGGTGTTAATGGTTAGTGCCATTGCTGATTGATTTTGTGGCCACTTAACTGACAGCATATTGAATCTGGAATGGTATTTTTTTCTCTTCAGTGCCAGTAAGAGATTTGTTGGAAGGTATTAAGGAGCTCATTCCCTCCTTCAGAGGTGTGAAGTTCAGTGGGACAGACCTGATGGACTTTGGCCAGTGTGTCAGCAACAGTCAGCCTGACTGGTCCTTCCTCTACGGCGTGGACGAGGTCAGCTGTTTCTTCCTCACCATCATCTTTGGTCCATCTGTTCTGTGCTTACATTACAAGATGACATTTTGTGACTCTGTCCTCCACCACAGAGCCAGCCTAAAACAAAATTTCTTCATTTGTTCCATAGCAACTGCTCGCAGCTCTGGTTCTGGGAGCCCACGGAGCAGTTGGCAGGTCAGTGTGTGAACCTGTGAAATGCTATGTCTCCTTTCAGTTTAACAGTTTAACAGTTATGTAAAATGCTTTTAATTGCACTACCTGCAGCACATATAACTACATGGGATGTCATGTCAACAAGCTCATATCAGCGTTTGAGAAAGGCGACCTTGTTGAAGCCAGGACGATACAGGTACTGTCCATTTCCCTGCAGTTGCTCCCAACTTCTGTTTGACATCATTTTTGGTTACTAACATCATTGTCTAATTTTCCATGAACAGTTCAAGGTGCAAGAGCTGATCAGTTATGCCATAAAAGTTGGTGAGTGGTGCTTGTGTCATAATATTTTATACAAGATAAATTAATGCTCTTCGACTGTAAGAGTCTTTCTCCACCTCTGAAACTGCCTTATTGTTCTTGACAGGCTTTGATGTTGGAGTGAACAAGCAGCTGATGAGTGAGGTGTCAGGCTTGAGTCTCGGGCCCCCTCGACTCCCTGTGAAGACATGTCTTCCTGCTGATGCTCTCTCCATCAAGGCGAAATATCACAGTATTTTTCCTCCTGAACAAAGTACTGGGCAAACCTCGACTGTAGAAATCCCTCAGTAACTCAGCAAACCACTTCTGATGAAGACATTTACACATTGAATCAAACCTTACCATTAAATTGGTCATCTGTTTCACCACTCAGTCCTTCCCGTTAATGGGAAAAATCTAATATGTTCACAAATATTTTAATGTCAGTGTTAATCATTTCATAGAATTCATAAAATAACTAGCTCGCGGTGCCCAGGGGAATGTGGCACTTTTGTTTTGCTACGTTTAGGGAACTGGGGACCATCACACATCAGCAGTGTTACCTTATTATCTTGTGCTGTTTAAGCTGAACCTCATTTTAGGAGTTTGAGTACTCTAAATCCCAGAAACCCAGACTTTAAGATGACTCCATCAGACGGAGGATAACAGACAGAAAGGGCATTACTCGTATGAACATTGTTCCATGGGAAAATTAACACTCCAGAAAAGGGAAAAGGTGATAAAACATCCGAGTTGTTAGAAGGAATTCATTTTATACTGTCATTTTTTTTATTAAGTGTTTTCTTTCTTAATGATGCATTAAAGGGAAATGTCGTGTGTTATTAAGTATGTTTGATTTTCATTGTTATAACAAATAATAATAGTAATTTCCTATGCAATGATTTATGTCTCTTATGTTCCTGAAAAGTTTAAAAATCACAAGGCCAGTTTATCTCTAAGACCTGAACAAGTGTGTGTGTCTGTTCGTGTGTGTGCGTGTGAGACAGTGAGTGTGATCAGATGGAAATTCTGCATTGCCCGTTTTTTATCCTGCTTTCTAACTAAAACATGATGGTTTTACGCTGTCTTTTTCCTGAGATTACTACTATTTTTGTGTCATTTGATTATTTGTATGAGCTGAAAATAAAACTGAAAAAAAATCTATTGTGGATTCTTTTTTGCTGGTTGTATTTTGCTGGTAAAGAGTTTGGGGAAACAACTGAGAACAACCAGGTGACTTCAGTTTTTATGTGACTCCCTGCTGTGTGAGTATGAGCCTGCAGCTGCGGTGGCACAGGACTGGTGCCATGTTGACAGATGGAGCAGATAGAAAGGAGAGATGATATAGAATGACACTGATGATCCTCATGAGTACACAGGGCTGTTGGAGCAGAAAAAAAATAAACAAAGAGAAAATGGTGATTATATGATGCAAAAGATGCTGAACTGAAGTGAGCTGGTAAATATATGATCAAAACTAAAACTTCAATGGGTGACAGTGCTTGATCGGGGCTGTCAAACATATGGGCAGAACTTGCCCACCATAGGGTCCGATCCAGCCCACTAGATCACTTTGCACACTTAATATTGATGCACTTGTGAGGGCTAAGAGGTGCCAGATTTCAGGAGCAAGTGAAACTGAGTAGTTGACTTCATGTGAAATGCTGCTTGAGATACTTCCATCCTGATTAGAATAAAGCTGTCTGAAAAAACAACCCTTTCTCATCCCAACTTGTCAAACACATCTGCTATGTTAGTGGATGTCCATGCCAAAATTTGACACGCTAGGTACCCTCCAGTGTCAGTTGTGGATGCACACTGTCAACATCTCAATTGACACTTGTCACATGTATTGTGTCTTTTCAAAATATATTTCTGTTTTCACAGTTTCTGCTTCAGTCTTTTTCAAAATAAACTTACAACATAGGTAAAACACTTATTTATTAGGTTAATTTCCTTCGGTTAAGGCAACAAAGTCCCTGGTTAAGTGTATGCAACAAAAGCCAGTGGTTAGGTTTAGAAAAAAACATAATGGTGTGGTTTAAAATAAGTAAAGTTGTTATTAACTAATGTCATGTCATGTGACACATCCACCTTTATACCACCTCTTTGTGCTATAGTAGTTAGTTTTGGTAGGAGGCCCCAGGGCAGACCACGAACACGCTGGAGGGATTTCATATGTCATCTGGCCTGGGAACGCCTTGGGGTCCCCCAGGAGGAGCTGGAAAGTGTTGTTGGCGAGAGGGACGTCTGGGGTGCTTTGCTCTGAATGGATGGACTACAGTAGTTGCCTTTGGCGTCAGAAATAGCCACCAGTGCGTATGATACTATCGTGAAGAGTATCTCTGTGTGTTGGTGTCTGACGCAGAGCTAGAAGAGAGACAAAGCAGAGGTATTTGAGGGGTTAGGAGTGAGAACAGGCTGGAAAAAACACCAATACTTATTGTTTATTAATTCATTTTCCATAACTGCTTATCCTTTTAGGGGTCGCGGAGGGGCTGGAGCCTATCCCAGCTGACACTGGGCGAGAGGCAGGGTACACCCTGGACAGGTCACCAGACTATCACAGGGCTGACACATAGAGACAGACAACCATTCACACTCACATTCACACCTACGGACAATTTAGAGTCACCAATTAACCTGCATGTCGTTGGACTGTGGGAGGAAGCTGGAGTACCCGGAGAAAACCCACGTTGACATTGGGAGAACATGCAAACTCGCTGAGGGGCTCCCCCATCCTGCACCACCAATACGTATTGTATTGCATAATAATTTGCATCATACTTCTATCTTAAAACGGTACTGGTGTAACCCTGTTGCTCAGACACTTTCTAAATGGTTTGTAAAATAGGGGATAACTTAACCTGCCTCATCAATAGCATCCGCTTTAGTTTGATGTGGTGATGTCAGCATTACTACACAGGTGTGGAGATGTAAATATGCACATGTAATGACAGGGAGTAGTAGGCTGACTAAACATGAAGAAACATAACATTGCAATTGCACTTATCTTTCTTTGGATATCTCAGGCTAGTCATCATCTGTTCTGTAGATGGATGAGCATCTCCAGAATGTACTTCTTTACACTAAAACAAAGGGGAAAAAATGGAGGTGTTGTTTATCTGTCACTATGCAATGGTTTTACTGGTGCAGAGTAGACAACTAGAGATCAAATTGGGCTGTGTGTGTGTGTGTGTGGATGATACAGAGTAACCGCATGAGTAACAACAGGTGAAGGTGCTGCGAAGCTGCATCATCTCACCATTGTGGGTGTTTCTTGTAAATGAAAGTGCCAAGACACTTTACAAAGAGGTGTGCTGTTAAAACAGAAAAATCACACTTGGTTAGCCATATCCACACACACAGTAGAGGGTGGAGTAGTGAGATGTGGCTTTCTCCTGTCAAACTTTTAATTAATTTTACACTTGTTATACATGGCACTTTCCTTTTCCAGTCTCATCTGTTTCACATCGTTCTAGTGTCCTTTTCCATCTGTAACATACCATCTGTCATTCTCCTCCTCAGCTGCCTTTAAACTCACTTCCTCCATGTTTCCTATCCTGAAAGTCCAGTTCTTCCTACAAAGGAAGGATTTAATCACGCCAGTATTATTTTAGGTTTGAAAAGGGCTTGTTTCCTATGAAATATCCTGTGAGGGGATACACATATCTGGTCTTTTAGCTTGTTTCTCTCAGCTCATGCTCTCACCTCCATAAAATGTCAGACAGGCAGCAGACATGCTGTGTGGCAGACGCCGGGGGTCACTTGGTGGGGGTTTGCCGTGACAGGGCTGCAGCCTGTGACAGGAACTCCCTGTAGACACGCCACCTGGCTCAGTCACAAGTGACAAGACTGAGAGGTCGTGAAAGGTCTGGTGAAGTGTTTCTTTCTCTCTTCATCTCTCGCCAGTCTGCATATTGTTCAGAGGAGGAGACTCTCACTGTGGTTATGAAGTATCAGACTCTAGTTGATGCTGTCTGCAGACTGCTTATTAGTTGCCTGACAGATGTTTGTATAAGCATGTGTTTGGAGAAGGGCTGCCACGCTATAGCAATTCTCATGCAAAGTCTTTGGGTGGATTCTCGCCAGCTTTCATACCTGGAGTTCACATTATTTGCTGCACAGTGCTGTGTGCTCCATGTGACATCTCAAAACCAGTTGTTTCAAATTACAGTTATATCAGTGTATTATGGGAAATGAAAAATAAATCCTGAGCAATGCCTTGAAACTGTCTCTGATGACAAAATGCAGCTGTTTGGATGAAAGAGGTTCAGTACCATACAGTAATTCTTTGTGTGTTGTAGAGAACACGTGTCTCACTGAGGCTTTCCCTAAAAGTGGCCAATGCTGCCCTCAGCTGTTTTAACTTCACACCTACAACTGCCAGATAAACTGACTCATTTTGATCTTTGGTTGCTCCACGGTATAAAGGACAATAAAGGATTAGTGGAGCAAGAGTGATATCATTCTGTGCAATAAGCAGAATGCAAATGGAAAGATGGCTTACACAATGACTCATGCCAAACAGAGAGCTCTGTTTTGTGGAGATGGCAGAATTTTTCTTGGCCGACTGCATTCAGGAGCTTATGTTATCTTGACACCAGCAAAAATCACTTTCGTATCAAGGCTTCCTCATGGCCTTATTTTAAAAAGGCTGCATTTTAACTAATCATTCATGAACAGATTATCAAATTGGCCAACCCAGACAAACTGTAGGGCTAGTTTCTAAAACGATTTTTTTTTTTTTTTTGCAAATAAACACTTTGTAAATGATTTTATGAAAAGAACACATGTTAGGGTGCACATGCAGTACCAGTCAAAAGTTTGGTCACACGAATGAAAAAGTATGACCAAACTTTTGACTGGTACTGTATATATTTTTTATTTTCTACAAAACTCATAAAAGACTAATTATTGATGATTGTTACAAAGAATGTCCCAATTTAACAATAAAAAATCATTTCCAACCTTTGAAACAATAATCAGTCAAAAATAATCTCAACTCAAGGTCCATTTATTTTTCCTGTTGCTTTCAGTTGCACCTTATGGTCTTCTTCAGTGGATGGAGACATGGGATTAAATGATTTTAAGCCTTTGATAAAAGGTAGTACATAGACCTCAAGCAAAGTGCAAATTATACACAATAAGTCCACTTGATCTATGATGATGATGATGATGATGATGATAATAATACTAATAAATTAAATAAATTGTGAATAGTTACTTTTAACTTAAACAGACATTCAGTCTAGAAATAATAAGATGATTATGATGATAATAATAATATCAATAAACTAGAAATAGATATATATACTCTTTTTATTTTTAATGCTGTATTTTACCTTTTCACAGCTTTATTTTATTATAATTTTAACATATTATTTTCTAAAAATATTCTTTTTTCAATGCTCCATTTCTATGTTTTTATTATGATTATTTTATTTCATTTCATTTCATCTAATTTCAATTTAATTTAATTTATTATATTTTACTTACATTTTATTACTAAATAGCATAAATGCCATACTATGCCAGGGGATCAGAACAGCCAAAAAATACATTTTCATTAAAGAAAAAAGGAATATTCAAAATCAATATAATAGAAAATAAATGAACAGACATCTTGCAAAAAAAATAAAAAAATACAGGAGTTGGGACGAGACCAAAATTTAAAGTATAGGCTAAATCTTCTGAAATTAGTTTACAAAATGAGCAGTCCACAACAATGTCCTTTTTATATCTTTGAAGAAACATTTGTATGTGTATAATCTTGCTCAGATGTGTTTCTGCTCACACTGTATCTTTAAAGCTCAATAAAGTTGATTAAAAAAAATATATTCTAATGCGGAACTGTATTTGCGGTTACTATCTTCCGCATTACGAGGGGACGGACTTATTTAGCTGTGACACAGAAAGCTCTTGCGTTTCCGGCCAGCTCAGCGCGTCAGCCCTGTGGTGTTGTCAGTTTACAGCCTGTCAAACACTGGTTACCAGTTACCTGTAAGGTTTCAGCGGGCGGCGGAGACACACCGGGACATCGCGGAGAGATGGTGCTGCTGACGATGATCGCTCGGCTGGCTGACGGGCTGCCGTTAGCCGCCTCAATGCAGGAGGACGAGCAGGTTAAAATATCACCTCTTTTTTTCTTTGGCTAGCTGTGAGCTGGTTATCAGTCCAGGCTGCTGCTGTAACCGCCTCCAAGTTGTAGTGACACGTTAACGTTAGCTAACATTAACTAGCCTCTGTAGGCCTGTCTATCTGTACACACAGGCTGCCTTTTATTTACCCAAAAGCAACTGAGTCATTCCTCTCAGAACAGCCTCCCTGTGTTTTAACTCTGACCTTATTCACAGGCTGCTTCATACCACTCATGCGTTGCACAACTTGACCAGTAACTTCTGTGAGGCTAAACACAGTCAAGTTTAGGTCTTTACAAAACTACAAAATCTGCTTTCCACTGTCAGACATGTCTGTGTGTTGTATCAGGTCAGAATTAAGTCAGTAACACCTGTATTAAAGGCATGAGTTGACATTTTTTTAAGCAGAATATTTCAGATTAGAGCCCCATCAATATATATATATATATATATATATATATATATATATATATATATTAACGATTTAAGTCATAGTACAGTAGGGCTGCAACTTGTTTTCTCCATTAATCAATTAATCACTTGGTCTACAACATATTAGAAAACAGAGTAGCCTGTTACAACATCCTGGAGGCTAAAGCAGGACTGGGCGATATGGAGAATATCAGATGTCACAATTAGGGTTGCAATGTTAGATTGTCTGTGTCTCAGAAAATATCACCGTGTCATGGTATCACAGAATTTATATTATTATCAGTCTGTATGACCCTTAAAGGGTTTCAAACAGAAGGTTATTTTTGGTTAAACAAATGTTTTATTACTATAATATAATTAAAACCTTTAACTATTTTATTAATGGAATATGTGTTAAAAGTCTTCCCTCAAAAAGTCTTAAAATAGTCTTAAATTCAATTTAACCCTAACAATAAATAGTCTTGAATTTGCATGGTTTAGCTACTACATACATTTTATCTAATTTAATTTATCCATTTTATTTCTTATTGTGACAATGAGTGAAGCATTTCTAATTTTACAAATCTTTAAAAACTATAATACTGTCATTTTACATCATACTTGCCCTTACCTGTTGGAAAAATGTAGATTAACTTAACTCTATTAACCATATTCCTAAATAACACTTACCTCTGCACAAGACCACACATATACTACTTGCCTGCAATGCTACCTGCAATGCTTACATAAGTAAAACATGACAAAAATCTGTCCTAAATTTGATTAAACGGTATCTTGAATTGCTCTTAAAAAGCATTATATTTAACTGTCTGATACCTGTAGACACCCTGTGCAGCTCTAATCATGATACTGTTGGCCAAATACCTTTATCAATATTGCGACAGTATTGTCGGGTAGGCTATGGTGCTTTCACAACATATTTACACAGTGATATTTGTGATAAACAATAACGAGTAATGTGGATGTAATGACTCAGTAGGTAAAGGCAAATAATAGAACAGCTTGAACTGAGTGGGAGGTAATGCAGCCTTAAAAACCAGGAAGAGACAACACTGTTATATATTATCATATCCAAAATCTAAGACAGTATTTAGTCTCATATTAGATATCAATATAATAGTGATATTTTGCCCAGCCGTAGCCTAAAGTGACTTCATCAGATGTTTTGTGTTGTCCAGTTAACATTTACAAATCTAAAAATATTAAATTTACTATAAAGTAAGACCAAGTAAAGTTGCAATTCTTCACATTTTAGAACCTGGAAATGTCACTTTTTTTAATCAAGGTAGTTTTTATTGTTGTTTTTTTTTTTACATTATATCAAAGGTCCAAACAGGTCCCCCATACCAGACATACACATATATCCATTATGCATAGCCTGATATCCACAAAACAAAGATAAATAACACAGAGAGATTAAAATGGTACAGATTACATAGTTGTGCTGTCAGCTTCCATATCCTCAGCAAAGGCTGAAGGCTGCCAATTAGTGTTAAATTACTAAATAAACCCTCTTAGAGTCCATCTGATCTTCTCCTATTTAATTTTTCTTTTTGGCATTTTTGCTTTGATCCACAATTACTTGGTAATCAAAATGGCTGCCTAGTAATTTTTTTAGATTGAATAATTCATTAATTGAGTATTTGTTACTGCTCTGTCATATAGATATATGTGTAGTTGTAGGAAATGTGTAGGAAATTGTTAAAATGAAATATTATAATATTTAAATTATTTTAAAAAACATTATTATATATTATTATATTATTATGTATTTTATATTATTATATATTATATATTTATAAATAAATTAAATATTATAATATTTTAAAAAATAAAACAGTGTAGTCATTACATATTTTGTCCACCAGAGGGCGCTGACACATTTATTTTTTTTAAACTGTAAAATGATCTGCTTAGTAGGTATCATGCATTTTTAAATTATTAAATTGAACGTTTTTTTATTAAAAGTGTTAGTTTATGTTAAAAAAAAATGAATACGGCTGATATGGTGTTTGTAGATTTTTTTAAACTCTCAAATATCAGACTGTCCAGCTGAGTGTTTCAGGTGCAGCATCCCTAGTTATGTACTTGCATGTCATACCCATCAATTGTCTATTAAAAGTGAAATATCTATATTGATATTGGCCTCAAAACATAAACTTAACATATGAGAATTGTTAAAATGGACGGCACGTGTGTGACACGTTGTGTTGTTGTAATGTGTTTGAGTCTAACATCTCTCCCTCACTCTCTTATTTGCTTTCAAAAAGGGAAGTGAAAAGGTTTG